GAGTGACATTATACTCTGCATATCAATATAAAAATATCTGGAGGGCCGGGGATTTAGCTCAGTGGTTCCGCCGCCTGCCTCACAAGGGCAAGGACCCGAGTTCAACCCTGGTACCAAAAAAAAAAAAATATATATATATATATATATATATATATATATATATCTGGAAAAGGCACAAGTATCCCTTGGCTCTTAAACTTATGCATCTGGATCAGATCCTCCTGACACAGTCAGAGAAATGCCAGGAGGCAGTATTACCCAATGATACTGGGGTTTTATTTATTTCACATGGGTTGAAAACATGCTTGAATATAACATGCCATATTTTTCTGGTAATTTCTACAAATCATTTTTTAATTATGAATAATGATTTTGGAGATGCTCCTGAGAAACGCTACTCAAGGTTCCCTTGACAACCATCCCATAAAATATCTAAAGTGGAGCAGCTTCCATGACCCACAAAGAACACCAACTTTAAAGTATGGATTCCTAAAAGATCCATTAGTCATCTTTGCTGAGACCAAGTCTCAGGATTCACAGATACAAAGGCTGGTTGAGAAATTCAGATCAACAAATGTAACTAGAAAAACACACCCACTATCAAATAATTGTTCGAAGGATTTTTGTACAATCATACATTTTCTCACTTCCCTTGGAGCCTTTGTTCTTTTCTTGTAGCTAGGAATTTTCTGTGTTTAAATTATTGCTTTTCTACCCCTCATCTGAGGATTTTCAGCTCTAAAACAATCTCCTAAAGCCACAGCAGAATGGGTTCTTGTTCTATAGTTCAATCCAGGCCACTCAGAAAACAAAATGGCTGGGTGTGGTGGCACACACCTGTAACCTGTAATCCCAGCCACTCTGGGAGCCTGAGGCAGGAAGATCGTATGTTTGAACTCAGCCTGGGAAGCTTAGCAATTTAATAAGACCCTATCTAAAAAAAAAAAACTTATAAAGGTTTCGGGATGTAATACAGTGTAAAAGCCCTGGGTTCTATCACCAGTACCACCCCCCAAAAGAAGAAATTAAATTGTTTATGCAAGATTATTAGTATCAGTTTCCATTTATGGGTTTTACTTTCAGCAAATCCAACTCCTGGATCTCAAATAATCCAACAGGGTCCAAATAAGTACCCTTGGGCTAGAGGTGTAGCTCAATGGTAGAGCACTTGCCTACTGTGTAGCCAAGCCCTGGGTTCAACGACCAGCACTAGAGTGGGATGGATAGATGGATGGGTGGAGAGATAGACACCTGGAGTCCCAGCCCTTTCTGCCACAGCGGCTGTATCTTACCTGAGGCCCACTTTCTTCCATTTGTCACAGGTGACAGCTTCTCCAAACACCAGTTACCATCAGGCTAAACAGAAACACAAATAAATCATTAGCTGTCAGTGAAGCAGCCTTCTATTGCTTACAGACGGAGGTATTTTCTGGTTAGTTACCTTAGACTTCCATAAACATTGTGTAAATTATTTTTATGTAGGTAACAAAGGGATTGAGCCCCAGCCCGACTACCCAGGAATTAAAGCAAATTCGCACACGGCTTTTCCAGTACCCCAACCTTGTTCAAATTCCTCTCGCCGTTGGTCCAGACTGTCGAGGACTAGAAAACAAGCGGAAGCCCACCTTCTGCCTGCCACTACCTGCTCAGTCAACAGTGCTGCCCATGGGTGGGGTACTTCCTACCTGCTTGGATTTATTAAAAAGTCAGATTTCTCATTAAACTCTCTGGGCCCGCTACGCCCAGCCCAGGGCCTGAAGAATGGGTAGAAGGCTCCGAAATTAAATGAAAGTGGGAAGCTAGGTTCTCACACCGTAATAAAGCGGTGTAACTGGCTTGGACCCTGGCAGCAAAGTGGCACCTGGGGCTCAATTCCATTCCTGACCTCTTGTCCCTAAAAGAAGAAAGAGACAAGAGGAAAAATCCTAGCGCCGGCCAGGGCTCAGCCCGCCGCCCGCCCAGCCTCCGACAGGCGCGGAGAAGTGCTCTGTGGTTCGTTAAGCGGTGTCTTCGTCTACACCCGCAGGGTGTATTTTGTTTCCGCTTTGGAGAAAACGAAGAGACTGTTGGAGTCAAAGGCTTAAAAGAAAAATTTTTTTTTCCGGTACTCAGGGCCTTGTGCTTGCGAGACAGGCGGTGGCCCTGAGCTAAATCCCTGGGTCCCTAAAAAACATTTCTAAAACACACAGGTTGAAATCACGTTGTAGTTTATCAGCTAACCAATGTTTTCCAGGAGAAATATTCTTGACTGTAGAAAAGGTGCTATTTTGTGCCGCGGATGTAGCTCAGTGGCACCGCGCCCGACTCTCAAGCGCGAGGTCCTGAGTTCGATCCTCGCCACGGCAAAAAAAAAAAAAAGTGCTATTTTAAAAAGCTTTTCATTTTACGCGAACGCGTGCTTCGCTCCGTGCCTGGCATTTACCCGGCACCGAAGGAGCTGTGTCCGGGGCGGCGGCTCTTCTTCCGCAGGAGGGCCAGACCGGGGAGCCGGGACAAGCGGGGACAGCGTGGGCTCCGCGCGCCGCCGCCCCCAGACACACGGCTGCCTCCCCCGCGTGAGACGCCTGGCCCGAGGGGAGGGGCGAGGAGCGCGCCCCACGAACGCGAGCAACCGAACGAGCGCCACGCCGCGCCCCGGCGGAGCCCGCAGCCCCGGGGCCTCAGGACCCCCGCGGACCCCGGGACGAGCCTCCGCTTCAGGCGCGCGCGCTCCAGGGATGCGCCCCCCCCCTTGCTGCTCAGCCCGCCCGGGGTCCGTTTCTAGCGCCTCTGGGGACCCCGAGGCTGCGGCGGCCCGACAGGCCGGCTGTGATTCCGAGTTGTCCCCGAGCCGCCCCTGCCTGAGCCCCGAGCGGAAATCAGGAGCCCTGTGGGGATGGGAACCCGACCCAGAACCCCGACCGGGGCGCCCCGCGGCCCCTAGGACCCCAAGCCCGGCTCCTGCGCACCCGCAGCGCGGGCTCCGCCCCCTCCTTCTCGCTGGAGGGAGGCGTGTGTTCCCAGGTAGCTGCACACCTCCCGGAAGCCCACCTTGCACGCCGGCCTCGAAGAGGAAAGAGAAAAATAAAACTGGAAGTCCGCGCGATGCGGGAAGAGGCGCGCGCCCAGGCCGGGCCCCTCGGTCCCTCTCTCCACTTAACCCTCGAATAAATGAGCGTGCCTCTGCCTACAGATCTGTTTAGAATGGGGGGGGGGGTTCTGCTGTGCAAATAGATCCCCTAGATGACACGAAACGAGTCTGGGACTCTAAAGAACTGTACCGGTCCTCGTGGTGCTCAGCCTCGTTTGGAGCCCCGCTGATCATCAGCTGCCGGGGGAAGTTAAGCTCGTCGTGGTCCTTTTGTCTTTGAAGTCCAGGAATATTCATCTCAGGTGGACGGGTTTTGTTCCGGTTCTTACGGGGGATCAGGGGGGGCTGGCGTTTTCTGAAGGGCTCCGGGCACATCACGAAAGAGCTGATCCGTCTGCAGATCCGCGGGAGTGACTGAGGCAACCACTGAGGAATTTCGGTGACTCCCAGCCCGTGCTTCCAGACGCGATTCCGACTCCCTGGAAGCCGTGGGGAGCGTGTCTAGAAGGACAGGGGGTTTCGTCCGGGAAGCCGATGGACCGCATCTCCCCGATCCGGGATGGTGAGGCGGAAACCTCGCCGGCCCAGAGTCATGGGGAGAAAGTGGGGTCGGGCGCCCCAGCAGCCTGCGCCCGGGAGACTCCCCCACCCCGCACCCCCGCCAGCTCCTGCACTTCCTCGAGGTCCCCAGCAGCCTTCCGAAGTCCGGGCCTCATCTCCGAAACGAGGCGAGAGCGTGGCCAGACTTAGGAGACGGGAAGGCAGGCTCACCCCTCCTCTCACGTGAAATCGAAACAATCCTGTGGCCACCTTTTACGAAAGGAAGCAAAGCGCAATCCTGTGGCTCCCCGTGGTCCTCTCTCAGGAACTTTGCTAATCGCTGCAGTTAACTACCGGTGACACAAATGGCTTTCAATCCCCTAAAGGCATCGCCTCGAGAGAAGGCCAGAAGTAGGTAGCAACTACTGCAGTCACTAGGGGCATCTAGGGGCATCCCTGGAGCCCCCCATTCGAGGACAGCCAAGTCCCAGGGGAAGGCCTGCGGGCACCCTCCCAGGAGGCGCGGGGAGGGGGATCCCCAGTTCTGGGAGCCCCCCCCCTCTGGATGGGGGGGTTGCTGCTCACACCCGGCTGAGATTGGGATCCTTCTCTGGACCGGGAAGGCGGTATAATCAGGTAATCAGACCTCCTCCCAATTTATAATGCAAACTTTCTCCAAAGAAGTAACTTTCAGGGAGAGAAGTTACTGTGTTAGGGGTGGGGTGGGATAGCGATATTGGAATTGTTCTCTGGTTCTTTCTGGGAGTAGCAATGACCCCCGGGGAAAGTTGAGGACATCTCGCCGGCTTACACACAAACGGGTGAAAATTTGAGGTATTCTTTCCATAGCTCGGACAGAAAAGACTCCCAGCCACGCAACAGTCACATCAATGATGCTGGGTGCAAGTGCGGGTTTCTGGGGGAAACCACACAGAGCTGGTTGCCTGTGTAGACCAGAGCCTGTGAACCAACAGGTCTGAGTGGAGTGTCCGCAGTCTCGGATTTCGTTGCCTCTGCTCGCTCAGGCTGCTGTTTTCCGGAACTGCACGGTAGAGGTTGCGGACCCAGCGGGGAATGAGGGGTTCTCCCCACCTCCGGACCCGCTTAGTGACCAGGTCTGCGAGGTCCTTCAGCCACCCGGGCAGCCCCTCCAAGCCCGTGGGAGTGGGGCGCCTGCAAGTCCCCCATGGTTTCAAGCGCACCTCGATTTCCTTCTTCTGGGGATGGGCCTCAGGTAGATGGGGCGCCGCCTGGGGAGGAACAGTTGAGAAGCATCTAAAGTAGAAAGTCCGAACAGATGTGGCGCGCTCCGCATCCACCCTTTTCCTCTTGGGGCCGAATTTCCTCCAGATCAGTTTCCTAATGGAAAGCTTCTAAGTGGTGGGGTCCTTGGGGTGTGACCGAGCGCCCAGACCGGGGTGCTGGTCTCTGTGGGCTCCCGGCTGTGTGCAGCACCACTCCTGCCTCCTTGGGCCCCTCGTCCTGGGCTCCTGGTGCGTGGGTCGTTGGCTTCGCCGCACAGCCCGAGACCCGGACTCGTGCTTAGCTTTCGGCCCAACGCATGCACCGGGAATGCCTTCTTGCCACGCCAGGACCTATGGAGATATCGCGGGTGTCCCGACCCTCGGTCACTGCCCAAGTTCCCGGTCACTGCAGTGAACACTCGGTCAGTGCTTTTCCAGTTTAAACAGAGCTTCTGACTTCCCACCACCCCACACGCCTGCGGTGTCCTGTCTGCAGTGGCCCCGGGCTCTGACGGTAGAAAAGGCCCAGGGGCGGCCTCAACCCCAGGTGAGGTTTTGTCTCTCTATAGTCACTCTGGCATCCGTAATCCTCCCACCTGGGAAACCTGTGGCACTTCTGCTGGCACCCCTGGGGAAGCCAGGCCCCAGTCTTGTGCGTGGGTGAAAGCCCGTTTGGGGAAGGGGTTCATCTGCTCCTTGCTGGCCTTTGCCCCGGAAGCGGCCCACACCCACCGTCGGGCGCCTTCAAACCCCGCCGCTACCTCTTCAGGCACCGCTGCGAACCTAACCTACAGATGCCAGAACAGCGGCTGCGCGGTGGAAACCCGGTAGTCGAAGCTGAGGCGCGCTTTCCGGTAAAATCTGGGAAATTTCGTTTGAGAAAAGTTTCCGTTCTCGTTACTAGGCGGCTCTCTCCCACTTCCACTTAGACATGTTTCTGCGATCCGGGTAATCCCTTTCAAGCAGGGGAGGAATTCTCCGGAGTCCATGACCGGAGGGGTGGGACAAGCGTTAAATCCTCCGGAAGCCGGGGAGGTGCAGGGGCGCACTCGGGGCGCAAGGCCTGCGGAAGCGGTGGCGGGGACGGCCGCAGCCCCCGCTGCTCGCTCCGAGCCTCTGGGCGCCGACCAGGGCACCGCACAGCGCCAGGTTCTGGGCGCGAAATGGGCCCGGGTGCAGGTTTCGGCACGGCACTGCGCACTCCGGGGTGCGCGGGCGCGGCCCGACACCGACACCCCACACTCTGCTGGAAACGGGAGCCTGGATTGCAGCACCAGTGGAAAGTGCAGCTCCTCCCGCGCAGCATCGCGGTTTCCCAGCTCACTGCCTGCGGGCGTCAACCACGCTGCGCATTTGGCAGGGAGAGGCCCAGCCCGGATTTGTGCGCACCCGGTCAAGCCCACACAGAGAACCCACGAAGCCTCCAAGGCCCTCGAACTTCGGGCCTTCCAAGGGTCCCCAGAAAAGGTCAGGAGCAACTGCTGCAGGCAGAGGGGATCGAAAGCCCGGCCTTCCTAGGGCGGAGAAGGGAGCAGGTACCTGGCCAGGGTCAGACAGGCAGCAGGCGAGCAGCTGGCTCCTCCTGGCCCAGGGGACAAAGCGGTGGCACCAAGAAGGAAAATACCTGCAGGTGGCCGCTGGGATCCCTGTGTCCTCCCGCTGGTGCCGACCTCCCGCTCAGGTGTCCACAGACTTCTACCCCTGTAATTCTACCGCCTTGGGCACAAGGCCAAGAGATCCCACAGGACCCCCACTCCCCAGAGGAACTGCGCCGAGCGCCCCCCCCCCCCATCCCTCACTGGAAAGCCCGTCGGAGGGCTCAGACTCCGGGGAGGGGTGGGGCTTCTGAGAGCGCCGCTGCAGCTGGGCCCAAACCTGTCCCGGGCAGCAGGACCTGGACGGGACGGGGCCAGCGCGACAGTGTCTCCATCTGCCTCCACCCCACCACCAAGAGCCCCGGGGGACCCTGGCTCAGCGACGGTCCCCTTGAAGAGTCCTCCGGACGTGCGATTCCCCGAAATCCTGGCTGCGTGGCTGCGCAGGCTCTCGGATGCCAGAGCCGGGGCAGGGGGCGCTGCTCTGGGAGAGAGGCCTCGCGCTGCGCCCGGCTCCCTGGCCCTTCTCTCCCGCCCGCGCACCTCCGCTTCCCCGAGGTCTCCCGCATCGCTCTGGAAGACGCCAAGCCCTTTCGCCCTCGGTTTCAAGAAAAGGAAAGGCAGAGGGGTCACTTCTGGGCCTCTCATGCAGTTTGCTCGTATGGGGGGCGCACGGGGTTAGGGGGTCCTCGGGCCACCTCCTTTCAGCCAGGGCACTGCGAGGTGGGGCGGGGGTGGGACCAGCGCCGGCTTGAAGCGCTCGGTCTTCCCAGCAGGGCACTTGGCCGGCGGGTCGCGCCGCCTCCTCTGGGCCGCGCCCGCCAGTGACCTCCCGGGAACCACCGAGGGGGCCTTGGCACCCCTCCCTCCTCCTCCTTCGCCCCACCCGGACGCCGGGGTCCGCGAGTGTCTTCTCTCCCCCCTGGATCGGGTCCCCGCGCGCGGGGCGCACTCACCGCGACTTCCCGGAGCCTGGGCGCGCGCCGCTCTCCCGCGGGCGAGTCCCTGGAGGCAGCGCCGCGTAGGCGCGCCTGGGACTCCGGGCGGCGGCGAGGTCTGGGCCAGTCTGGCCGCCCCCGCCCCCCGCCCCCGCCGAGGTCCCTCCCCCCGCCCCCCGCGCCCAGGCGGCCCGCGCTCCGCCCGAAGGCGGGTCCGCCATAAACAAACGCCGCCCGGGCGCACGTGCGCCGCGGAGCAGCCGAGCCGCGCAGCAGAACGCGCGGTCGGGGCTCGGGCTCTCCAGGCACAGTGAGCAGCCGCGCAGGGAGGACGGGAGGGCGCGCCCGGCCCGGCCCGGCCCCGGGGCCCAGCCTCCTGCGCCGCGCCACCATCGGCTCCGACCTCTCTCCATGGCTCCGCGGCGGCCACCGCCGCCCTTGCCGCCCTCCAGTCCGGAGGGGCCTCGCGGCCGCGGGTGCAGACGCTCGCTGAAGGACTGAGCCGCGCTGCTTCCCCTCGCCGGCTCCCTGAGCTCCAAGGCAAGCCCGGGCAGGGGACAAGAGGCGGGACGCAGGAGAGAGGAGCGAGCAGGGCTCAGGGCTGGCGGCGGGAGGCGTCTCGGAGCCCAGGCCGATTCTGCGCACCTGCCCGGGCCGGCGCCCAGGACTCCGGACTCACCTGACCGCGACGCCCCCTTGCCCATCCGGACTGAGCGGGCCTGGAGCGCGGCCCGATCTAATATGCCCAGAGCCGAGGCGCGATGAAGGAGAAGTCCAAGAATGCGGCCAAAACCAGGAGGGAGAAAGAAAATGGCGAGTTTTATGAGCTGGCCAAGCTGCTCCCGCTGCCTTCGGCCATCACCTCGCAGCTGGACAAAGCGTCCATCATCCGACTCACCACCAGCTACCTGAAGATGCGCGCCGTCTTCCCCGAAGGTGAGGCCGCGGGCGGCCGGGAACGCTGGGGCCCGGGGCCTCGGCCCACGCGGGAGCTGGAGCCGCTGCGGGGCCCCCCGGCCTTCGGGCCAAGGCGAGAGCCTGCTGGGGAGGCCGCGTCCGGGGCTTCGGAGCGCGGCGGCCCCGGGGACCAAACCATCTCGCCGTGGGCGGCGAACCAAGAATTGTTCCAAGCGCAGGTGTCCCCAGAGCGGGCGGTAGCACTAGCACGGCACGCCAGCCTGTTCAGGTTTTAGTTCTCCCTTCTTTCTTCTCTCCCAGTCCTTCTTTCGTTCCACCTTTCCATCCTTCTCTTCTTTCCGTCTTTTTTTCCTTTTAATGCTTGTCCATTGCGGTGGGGTTTTATGTTTCATTCCTCCTTTATTTTCTACCTTCCTTCCTTGCTCACTTTTTCTTTTCTTCTTTGCCAGTCCTTCCTGGTCTGACTTTGCCTTCTTTCGTTCTCCTTCCTTCCTCTTTTTCTTCCTGCCTACCTTCCTTCCTTCTCTTCTTCCTTCAGCTCATTCTGGAGGGGAGAAGGATCCTTGCTTCTCCCACACCATGAGGCCCGGGTGCTGCAGGTGGAAGCCACAGCCGAGCACTTTCTTGGGGAAGCAGGGGGACACCAAGGGCTCGCTCAGTCTGCCTCCTTTCCAACGCTTCTTCCTTTAGGCTGGGGAGTGGAGACTGGGATGGAAAGATCATGGATTTGTGAGTTAGGGTACAGCCAGCCTGAGAGCAGAGTGATTATTTTGAAAATGGCAGATGCCTGAGCATGGCAGTTCTTTTTAGGACTGAAAAGGTGCCACTGGCCGGCGAGGGTGCTGGGACCCACGGACAAGCAGACTGAGGATTTCGGGAAACTGTGGCCTGCTGGGTGGCTCCCCCTGCGTGCACAAGCCAGCTTCTGCTGGAGACTGTGGCCACCGGGCAAGGACCTCCAGGCAGCAGCTCTGGGGTCTCTGAGGCTCGGCCCGAGAGATACGGACTCATTGCTGGGAAGTGCACTCCTGGGGGCTTCCTGGGCACTGGGACCTCCAGGCCCTGGACCTGGGGGGCCTTATAGGGTGACAGCTTCAGCTGCAGGGTGCTGGAGGGTGGCGCAGTGTAGGTGACAGGTGTCCGGGCCCCAAGGCGCTTCCATTAAAAGCTATCTCCAACCAGGCAGTGGACCTGGTGTCGGAGGGCTCCTTTTGCCCCTCCCGGCTGTTATCTGTGATGGTGTCTGGGTCTGGGACACGCTTGTCACCCTCTCCAGTGGAGCACGGCTTCCAGCCCCGACTCAGAGACCAGAGTGAGCATGGGAGGACCAGGCAGCGCCCTAGAGCCCAGGGCCGGAAGCTGTGGCTGGGCCTCCCAGAGCCTCCTGCCCGCTGGGCTGCACAGGGATCAGCCCTGGTGGTTTCCTAATCAGATGGGCAGAGATGCCTCTGCCCTCCCTCGGCCTCGGCCGGCCACTAAGAGCTGTGGCTGCTCTGGTCGCTGCTTACCCGCGCTAGCCCTTGGCCAGAGAAGGAGGGATCATTCCTCTCCGCCAAAGTTGCAGTGGAATCAAAAAGCGAATTTGGTTTATAAGAGCCCAGTCTCCTTCCTGCCCGCCCAGAGGAGAGAGCTGGTTGTTGGTTGGCTGTCCCGATGAGCCCTCTTTCCGCATGCTGAGAACCAGGCATAAAATCCGCACAAGGCCTGGCTTCCTTACCCCCCCACCCCCAGCCTTTTTTGGGGGAAATAGTAAAAGAAATGATCAGAAGGATAAATGATGTGTTGTCAGTGATTTCAAATAAACCAGAGAGCAGCTAGAAGAGGAGACCCGGCTGACTGTAAGCTGTTCGTTGTTTCGGGGATTTCGGGAAGTGGCAGGTGTGCTGCCGAAGCCTGTACACTGGATCCGGACTGGGAAGCTGGTCTCTAGGCTTTGGGGTCCAGAGTGGCTGGGCCCTGAGTCCCTGCTGCGGTTGGTGCCACCAGCGTGTGTTCAAGAGCTGCCTAGTCCAGGGGCCACCTGCACCTCCTGGGGGTGACCGTGGAGGCTGGCATTCAAGAAAGGGGCAGCAGGAAGCCATTTGGCTCTAGAGTGTTGCAAATGGCCCTGAACCTGTGAAGAGCCACCCAGCCTCAGGAAGGTGTCTTCCTAAGCCCAGGGCTAAAGGGCAGACAGAGGTGCTTTTAAAAAGTAAGACCTCCGTTATGCAAAATAACGTGCTTCGGAGTAACACCAGAGGACTGAAGCGATCCCTTCGCTGATTTAACCTTTTTCTGGGGAACCCAGGTCTACTTGGGGCCTGCCGGGTTCTTGGGGTCAGGGCAATGGCTCTGTGGAGGTTTTAAGGACCGGCCCCCCCTGGGCCCAGTGGAGCTCCTACTTTGCCTGCAGCGCTCAGCTGCAAATCGAAAGTACAGGGTGCAGAGGGAATGCTCCTACCAAGAGAGATTTTGCCTGGAGCAAGTGGGTTCCCTGGGTAAAGAAGAAGCTAGAAACCAGCTTAGGGACCAAGGGGATCATCAGACCCTTCCGACCTGGGGAAATTGGTGGCCAGAGAGGGGACAAGCCTCCCCCACGGTCCCACAGTGGGGTCACTGGTGTGCAGCCTGTCCTTTCTCCACACTGGAGAGGGCTCGGAGTTCAGAGAGGTCCCCACAGCAGGAAGGGAGCCGAGGCCACTCTGCCGGCTGGCTGGTCCTCAGGCTTGGAGAAAGCTCCGATAAAGTTTTTGCAGTGGGTGGAAGGCTGCATTGTCACCTTGCACTCCTGGCCCCGGTCTCTGTAAAATGGGCCCATTACGGACTCCACACCTGCCCGGGGTTGTTGTGACCCAGCGTGAGGATGCAGGGTGGGGCCATACGGTGTAGGTCCAAATCTACCACAGTCACCCAGTCCCAGTAAACCTAGTATTTCCTGGACCCTCGATTTAAAAGACAGGGGCGGAAGAAATAGCTGACCAGAGTCAGAGCTGCTTTCTGGGTGGCCACTTTTTCCTCCTACAACTATGGGACTAAGAAGTGGGAGGTAGATCGAACTGGCCGGAAGTTGGAAAGTGGCTGACCTAGGGAGTGGCTGGGAAGCGGGGAATCCTGGGGCTGTGGCAGTGGCAGTGTCAGGCACTGGGCTGTCTGCGCCCCTTGCAGCCACGTGGCCCTCTACGTTAGGTGGCTCCCGGTTAGCCATGAGCCCACACAGGGAAGTCTGGGCCAGTCCAGGGTGGGCAGCAGCTGGGGCAGCGTCCCACCAGCTGGAGGGCTGGGCCCTGCCGAGGAATCCCGATTCTGGTGCTGGGCGGTGGAGCAAGGGCTGATTTTTCCTTCTGGATCTGGAGCAGAAGTGGTGGGGAGAGGGATGCTCTGAAGGTCCCAGAACAAGAATGAAGTAGGGAAGTAGGAACAGAGCCTGAGCCTCCACTCCTCCCCATTTCCCAGACCGGAAAGAGCCAGGGCAGTGCGCGCCCTTGTGTGTGTGTGTGTGCGTGTGTGCGTGTAGAGGGTTGTGATAATAGTGCTGCGTTATCAAGACAGTGTAGTCAAAAGAAGAGGAAATGTCATTGCTCCTGTCCACACACACAGAAGTAGGGTTCAGGTCCTGCTTATCCCGGATTCCTTTGGACTTAAATTCAGTTCCAGGCAGGGCCCGGGATTTAGTTCAGTGGCACTGTGCCTGCCTCCTGCCTCGAAAGCACAAGGTCCTGGGTTTGATCCCCGGTACCAAAACAAAATTCAGTCCCAGGCAGCCCTTTAACTGCCCTTTCCCCAACCCCCTGCCGGGAGCCTGAGCACCCTGGGGATGCACCCCCACGGCTTCCAACTGTTTCATGGATCAAAACACTTTGGCTTGCAGTGATGAAGTGTATTGACTGACCGTGGAGTCTTAGACCCAAGGTCTTTCTCTCCCAAACCCCGAAATCATGCACATTTAAAAAATATAGGCTTAGTTTTTAGAGTAATGTAGAATGTAACGACCATCTCCCCATTTCTACGTGGAAGCTCACCAGGCTGGGCAGCTCAGGAAGCCAGGCTCACAAGCAGCCGCCGGTGGCCCAGGCGGGGCCTCCCAAGTGTGGACCTGGTGCATGAGCTGGGGACTTGGGGACTGGGGCCACCCTGAGCCCCGCAGCACGGAAAGGGAGCCTCCTTTGTGGCCACTGTACCCCAGCTTCCAAGGTGTAAGGATCGGGCCTTGGGGGTC